ACTTTAAATTTATATTAATGTTATTTCTTTGTTTAATATATAAAATTCACATATACTGTATTTTCTATTCATAAATAAAATATAGATATAGTAATAAATGATTGCTTAAATAATAATTTAATTTAATTTAAATATTTCTAAACATTTAAGATCATGAAAATTAAAAAATTCTTATACTTATCGTGAAAAGAAAGATGTTAGACAAACTAATAGAGCTGCTGCTAATAGAATATCAACATATTCTCATGCTTTTATAATTATAATATAATTTGTTATCATTTAAATATTCCAAAATATTAACGAAAATACCTATTTGATTATCAATAATGTATTCAAAGAGATGGAAAGATTATGTCAATCTACATAATATTTTATTGGAGCTCTAGCTAATATTCAACTAATATACATTAAGTGAAACTCGAATAATTCAACCAAAAAATAAATATTTATAGTTACGTGTAGAGAAAGCAAAGCGTATGGAAAAAGTTTTTTCAACAAATAAAAACGTTATATTATTATCTTGCGTATTTTATATGCAGTGATTTGATAAGTAATTGGTCGAACATTACTCATTTAAGGTATGTTAATAAAAATAAGGCCATCAGATTGAGAATATGTATTTGAAAATTTATGGAGTACAATTGTCACTTCTTTTTTAGGAAAATGATTTACTATTGTTCAACAACTATCCCAATGCGGACGATTCAATTTTTAAGTTAAAAATATAAACGTTCATGGTATTTTATTAATACTTTCTTAAAGCAAAATATTGCAGAAAAATATGAGCATTTGAAATTCAAATGTATACATCCGTATATGTTCAATTCATATATTTGTGTAAACAATGTGGAATGAAAATTTTAATTAAATTTGCTTGTCTAAAATATTATAGCTTATGACATTAAAATTCATAATCAATACAAAATTTATAGCTAAGTAAACATAAATATCATGCTTTTGCTAATTCTGTAGATAATTAAGGATGGAATATTAAAAATTGTATTTGAAAGTAATGTCACAATGTATTTATGAAATTACATTAATAAATTAAGTTACGATGAAATTGAAAATTAAAAATATCGTTTTTTCTGGTTGCAATTTATATTATTTATGTATATTTTATATGTTATCATACAATTATGTATTTAAAATTTGAAAGTTATGTAGAATGAAATGTAATAGAAACTTTAACATAGGAAAAATGTAAAATGTTTAAAAAATTATTCTCAAGAACATCTGTTTGCACTGTTAGTATATAATTTTCAACTATACCTTTATTATTCCTGCCAAAAATCTTTTCACAATTAATTCCTTTTCAATTTCAGTTATGATTTTCATTAGAGTAAATAGTTGCTTTTAATTTAAGTATGCAGTTAAGTTGAGTTTAAATGAAAGATAGCCGGAAGTCTCTCGACAATAGATATAATTCAAAAAAACCATGCATTGAATGAAACTTGTTTATGAAAATTCCATTATATATTGCGTAAAACGTTGAAAGCGGCTGCAAATTTGAATGTGATAAAATGTTTAAGGAGGCTCGATTAATCGAAGGCTATGAGACTATGAGATTCCAAAGAATTTTTTCATTTCGAGCACTTTAAGTTTTTTTCTTACACATAATCATGTTACGAATCACAGAAGAATGTTACGAATTGTATTAACTTTTCTAATTCATAATATTTTTATTTACGGTTTATTTAAAGAACATATTTTTATAAATAATGACAAATAATACGATGACATTAAGTAGTTAAAATGTTAAGTAAAATAAAAGTTTTTATGATAAATTATTAATTAATTATCAATATTAGTAATAAATATTTAATCTGTTCATGAAGGAATATTAAAATATAAAAAAATATATCATTTAATACTGTTTCACCTATGTATAAATTTGTTTCTTAGTAAATACTAAGCGTTAAAAAAAATAAATTAATTAAAAATTTAATAAAAATAAAAACATATAAACAGTTTTACATGATTCTAAAAATGACTAAAAGAATACATACATGAAGAATGTCGGATTAAATAGATGTATGGTTCTTAAAAATATTAATAGTGTTATTATTGAACTTTGTGATGTAATAACATTCAGGTGTTAGATACAATCACAAACAGAAATTAATTTGAACTATATTTGAATATTTGAACTACACGTGTGAAAAGAGATGTAAAAAATATAACAAAATTTGATCAGTCTTTCACAAAGGTATATTTTGCTAAAAATCTACATATTTTATGAGAATGAGAATTCCATATAATTTATACGCAACAGATATATTACTATTACTTATACGCGAGAATTGCTAAAAAAAATTATGAGATATATAAAAATACCGAAATCTTCAATCACATACATTAAATATTAAAAATGATTCGATTGTTTTTAATTTTTAAATGCAAGAAAGATAAATATAATTATTATTTTACCTTTATATTCTGAGCTATGATTTATTATTATAAATTTCTTTGAGATTAACATCGGCTACATTTTACAAAGCTCTATTCCACGGATCAATAGTCGAAATCGCCTTGAGCATGTCTTAACTCATCCAACAAAACGATCGGTTGGCCGATCTAATCGTACGTTGTCATCGTAACGTTTCATACAAGAAGATTGACCAGCTTTTCGATTATGTAGGTTTTGTTATCATTATAACATTGTTTCTCGAAATAAAGATAGATTTCCTTTTTTTCCGACTTGTGATTATTATTATTATTATTATTATTATTATTATTATTATTATTATTATATAAGACAATCCATATCCTCGCTAGAGTAATATTATATATAATAATTATAGTATAATCAATTTTATAATATTAATTAATGACGGATGGTGAAAGGAAAATATATACTTTATATATATACTATATATATATATATAGTTATTAATATTATCTTAATTAAAATATATAACAATAATATACAATTATAACAGTTTTAACTTTTATGGATAAAATATCTTTGCTTATACATGTAAAGTTTCTTCAAACTTTTGAATGGAAAAATGGAAATATTGAAAAATGTTTAGCAGTAATTTGAAGAATTAAAGAACGGTGAGTGCTGAAACAACAACTTCAGGCTAGATTAATGATAATAGATAATCGTGTAATTGAATGTTTCACAATTTCATAATTGATTCAATTAACACCAAAGCTGTTTTAAGTATTTTGACAAATTGGTGGACTAAAATGATAAGAAATCGGAGCGTAGTAGACTTTGGAAATTAATACTATGCATTTGTGAAAAAGCGACAAAGTCGTTATAATTTTATAAAGTTTTTTTTTTTAATTAATTACACGTACTTATTTACTTTAAATTATTATTATAAAATTGTCTTATTTCGCAACTTAAATTAAGCATTAAACATAAATATTATTATCGATTATAATCTTAAAGCGATTCGTTGAATTTTTTTCTCAAGGTTACTGAAAATACCTAATAATTTTTAATACTTAATATTTTCCATAAATTCGTTATATTATCCGCTGACTATTTGATTTTCTAGGAATTGGAATTCGATGAAAGGCTGCTGTTATTCCTCAATCAGTATACTAATATAATTTAGCGTAAATACATGCTTGTTTTAACATGAAATAAAAAAAGTAATTCGCATCATAAATAATTCTTTAATTGCAAATATATCTTATTTATGTTTCACTACTTTTTAAATTAAAACCTCTACAGGCTTATAAAATTTATGTTAAATTCGTATTCTTTTGTCATTAAATCGTCATTTTATAAAATAGAGTTTAAGTCGTTTAATGTGTTTTAATGTTGTTAACCTTGTTAGCGCGAAAAATTTATCATTGAATGATTGATGAAAAGCTGAAATATTATTTATAAAAATTTGGACAAATTTTCATGTTAATTCAGAATTCACTATTAAAGTAAATAATTAATTATTACATACAAAAATCAATATTAGCTTTTATATAATAAGAACTATAATAACAAGGATTTTCTATTAATAACGAATATTAAAATATTTTAAAATTCGCGTTAATTATATAAACAATGAGACTACTGAATACACAGAATAAAACAATAAAAGGTGGACATTCATTTCAACGTTAGCAATACATTTGCTATTTATTGAAAAATAATCAATGACAGTCTAATTAATAATTCATCGCGACAGACTTCGTTTTAACACCCTATAATGATTATTAATATGACAAGTTTCAATGACAAGCCAAAGGAGTGGTACTAATGGAAAAAAATCATTCGTTGACAGTTTGTAAACAAACGACGGCAAAGCTCCCGGAAACGAGTTTCTTAAAGCCAGACAGTCCTGAGTGAGAAATAATCTTGTAAAACGTATGAATGACCGGCTAAGAGCGGCTCATCTCCTACATTCTTTTATTAAAGAAGGGACCACGATAAATTGAGGTTAGATTTCGTACGGTGGTCGGCCCTCCACACAAATATATAGCACATCATGAGTCATATTACATAGAATTCACGGAGCACGCATCTCGAATAGAATTTTTGGACAATGTAAATTCGAATGGTCAACCGCAGAGTTAGGAGACGTTGAAATATGCCGTGAAGGATTTAGTCTCTGGCTTCTTGAGACGAGGAAAGAAATGAGGGAACGACGGTGTGATTCAAAAACTTTCAACATTCAAAACACAATTAACGAGACTTGCACAATCGGCCCCTCACTTCGCACGCTTTTCAATTCGCACATAATATTTATAAATGAGCATAGAGGAATAACGCGACAGCACGGGAGTGACAATTGAGAGCAGAGCCGATAAAGGATCCGGGACACTATCAACGCGACAAAATATGAGCGTAGGAGACGATAGCAGACAGAAAGCGCGCGGAGAGGTGAACCAACAGGGTGGAGAAAATAAGCTTCGCGATGTCGCTTGCGGTCCTGCTCTTGGCAATTTTTTCGCGAGCGTGCCGGTGCCCGTTTACCTGGCCGACTAAAATAATGCGACGATCAACGGCATTCGATGAAATAGTAACCTGTATGTGAACTTACCGCTGAACGAGGCGAGAATCGTCGTTGTCCGGAGATGAGCGCACCACGCACCGCGACACACACGCACGCACACTTGCGCATGGCTAGACATCAATCACTATAGTGCCGCGGTACGCCGCAGAGTGGCGCTGGTGTACCTCTGGCAGCCATATTTGTTTCGGATCGATGAGCGCGCGTGCGCAATCGGATTGTCTGTTGGTCCAAGGCGGAAAGGTTTAAATTTACCGAGACGTTCGAGCAAATGCGAAAGCGTTAAGTGATCGGCTCGACTTGGCTCGTCGTGCGTTCATCGTATGCGAGCGATAGAACGTTACATCGTTGATTCATCCATGGCTAAACAAAAGGAAAATTAATCGCTGATCGCGAATAGTACTGAAACTCTAACAGCTTCTTGCTAATAAATAGTGTTGGTTGAACGTTCGTTATTAGCATATTTCGTTTGGCATTAACGTGTTAATAATCATCACATTACGATTACAACTAAGATTTCAAATGCATCTAGTTGGCAAGCGGTACTTTTTTCGTAATTAAAATTTCTGAATATTCAAGGGAGCCAGATTTATTTTGACTTAAACTCAAATGCATTAAAATTTTATAAAATGCGAGTAATTTACAATTTACAAGTAAATTACATAATAAAATTCAAAAACTTATCAATTAAAGAACTTACCTTAAAGAAGACACTGTTGTTTCGTAACTAACAAATATAGAAATTGCTTCGTGATAAGTATTAGTTGATTTCTATCCTTTATCTAAATGGAACTCAATATCATTACCTTATTATCTTCTTGTAAAAATATTATTTTTCAAAACATTGGGAATTGGTAATTTGGAGTTTGGTCATTTTTTTTTCTTTTTTCTTTCATATTAATGTTTATTTTTAATTAAGAATAAAAGGAATTTGATTTTTAAATAATTTTACGATGCTCTCAATCTGTATGCTGAATGTTTGAATTTCTTTTATTGTATTTTTCATATATAGAATTGTTCGTAGGAAATTTAAAAACATTTTAATTTTAAATGTTTTTAATTTAAAAGATTCGGGAATTCTTTTGGATTCTTTCTTATTAATATACACATATTTTAAGACAAAATGTTAAGAAAGAAATTGTAAAGACGAAAATTAATAAGACAAACGAACGACATATCGAGCTTTCATTTCAAGTTTTAAAGCTCAAGATATTTTTAATAATTACAATGTACTCGTTTGCGGTGAAAACGAGACTTATTGTGTTATAATTAACATAAATATCTGGTAGCACTGCTGATTATCGAAAACCATTATACTAAGGATATCAAATAAATAATGCAAGCATGTAAAAAAAGTTTATAAATTAACGGAACATATAACACATAGCGAGATCAACACAATTACTAAGGTATGCTTAAAGTAAGCCTGTTATTTAAGAATAAAGTATAATAATTTAAAAATTCTAACAAACACGCACACTCCAGTTAATTAACCTTTTTACCGCTTAATAATTAAATCCGATTTTACCAAACTTTTAACAATACACACGTATTATTTTTCATACACAAATATTTTCACGTATTTCTCACATACTCTTCTTCTCATATCATCGACAAAGGCAATTCAATTTACTTAAACTTCTCGACAATTGATTCATCTACATGACACTATGAAAAGTTCGCATTAGCATTCATTCTCCCCCCCCCCCATTCACCCAACCATTCTTTCGTGCGCCATTCAAACAAATATTCTTTTTATATGGATTATCGCATAACTTTACATTCACAATGGAAAAACCAACGATCTTTGGGCATTAATAGCCCCTAGTCAACACTTTGTTCCTTTTTAAATATTTTACATGCCTATTATTACACGATTTATTAAGTGTTTATCGCATGAACCTTCGGTTTTAACGAGTCGTGCCTACTTTAATTCAGTATTATTCAATTCCAATCGTTCTTCGTCATTATTATTAATATTTCACTTAATAAATATCATTGAGAAGAAAAATACGAATAGGAAGTTTTCGTTCAATCATATTATAAGTTTAGTTAACGGTAATCTCTATATTTATCACGTTTCAAATCTGCAAAGCCCAATCGAGACTCTTCTTCGATAAGCTTGTAGCTCATGCGCTCTCAAGTTGCTTAAAAGGTCTGGGCATTACGGCAAATACCACAACCAAGAGCAAATTCTTCACCCGTTGGTGGATGCTTTATATGAAGTGGACATTCTTCGCCTTCCAATTGCTTCGCCTTGGCACCTGCCAACACAAAATTTCAAGTCAAGATCAATAAACAATTCAACGTGCAATAAAATCAAAATTTAATTATAAATGTTAGCCTAAGAAATATATCTAATTAATTCCATTGAATTTTAAGACGTAAGCCTTCGAGAAGCAGCACTCGAGAACTAATCTTTGCTATCTATTTTATGTAATTTATGCAGAGAATGAAATATATTGTTGATAAAATAAAAGTGAGTCGAAAAAAATTATTCCAATAAATTCATTATAATTTCAAAGAGAACTTTGAAGCAAAAAAAAAAAAAAAATTCGATCCAAAATCAAATATCAAACAGACGCGAACGAGCTTCTTTTTATTGAACAGCTACTTAATAGTGTTAAGCAACAAAACAACGAGCTCAAAGTTCGTAAAATACGCTGAGGCCCAAATCCTCCGGTACCTGCAGGACACGAGGGCAGCTCGCTTTTCGTGATGTTGGTGACCATTTGGAAATCATCGTGGCACGGTTTGCAAAAGTGGGTGGTGCCGAAGCAAAAGAAGACGGCTACGGAGCAGCAGTAGCGGCACTTGTATTCGAGAAAGTCAGTCCCGTGCTTAGGGCACATTTGGGCCCGTGCTACGTCACTACAGCCACCGCAGACAAGTTCCGTGGGGTCGAAGGATTCACCGCCCTGCTGGACGTCGCAGCGAGCCTCACCCCCATAATACGCTTTTTGACACTTGTAGCACACGTAATAAGCGTATCGATCCATGGCATAAGAAGCTGGATCCTGGTAATAGCGGCCACCAGGAGTTATCACCGCCTCGGCTCTGTAATTACCATCACTTTATATAGAGACGAGTGTGTGTTTGTTTGTCTGTTTGTCTTTGTCGAGGATTAGATATAAAATGAAAATAAATTCAAAGGGCATGCTTGGTTCCGCATAAATTTGCACTTGAAATTCCTTTAAATTCGAGCCCATTGTCAATTAAACGAACGTACACATATAATAAGGATTCATTAACGCATAATTTTAATATTTCTATCTACAATTTGAGAGGAGACTTTGGCTCGCTACTTGAAATAATAATACAATCGGTATGGCGTGAAATCCTATCCAATCGAACGTAAATTTATTATCGACTCACTTGTGAAGGCCTTCGTACTCCAACCTCATAAGAGCTTTCCTCTTCACGTCCTCGTAAAGCACTTTAATAGTCGAGAGTTGCTCGGCGAGATTGCGATTCTCCATCGACAGCTTACAGATTGGACAGAGCGCAAAACTAAAGGTGATCCTCGGCCCAACCCAGCCCTTCATCAGTACCGTCCTACAGCAATGCAGATGAAAGACATGACCGCACTGCAACTGAATCGCAGGCGCACAAGCGAGAGCCTCGCTGAAGCAGATCATGCACATGTCGTCGGCATCCTGCTTGAGATCGGAGGTCGGCGCACACCGATGTAGACAAGGTAAGCAAGGCCGTTCGTCCCGTACACCCCCGCACATGTGACCGCAAGGCTGTACCTTGCTGCAGGCATTCTTCGCGTGCTCCTGGCACTCGTGATCCGAGCAGATGTTGCCGATCGCCAGGAGGCCACTGTTACCTGCCCAACGTGCATAGAATTTTAGCATTAAGTTAGTTGAGAAGAAGCCAGGGATCGAAAAGTTTCTTATTCGCGGATAAAGCGACGGTCGATTAGCGCTCACACCGCCGAATAGCATTAGTAATCATGAATATCGTACCCGTTGTCCCGCAAAATCGGCATACACCCGACGTAGCTCCGACTGGCTTCTGCGGCGGTCCATCACGAAACTCGACCAAAGCTTTTAACGTTTGGCTGTCTGCTAAAATCAGGATCCAGAATAATTTCATACGCCCACAACCCTCATGTAGATCCACGCGTATTGCCTCCTCCTCCTCCTTGCAAACCTGTCGCATGTGCATGCGCGTTCTGCGGTGCAGATGTAAGACTCGATCACAGTCGGCACACAAATTGCCACAGATATTACATTGGATTATTGCCGTCGTCTCGCCATCGTCGTGGTTACTGCACGTAGGCTGCGTTAATAAACAATACATTTATTATAGGCAAACTTAGACACTTAAGTTTATAACGTGCATGGGCAATGTTCAATAAAAATTATTAATAACAAGTGAAGAGATATGTTGGGAAATGTTTTCGATGCGTTTTCACATTTATGTAAATAATTTATCACCGCTGTATGTATGTATCAACAATGTACAATTAAAATTGCAAATACTCATATATACTGCACGTGATATGTCTTACGTGTCCTAATTTTACAATCATTCCTTTTTTTACCAATATTTCCTGCTTATGTGAAGGTTAAAATTCTCGGTTAAAGAAAAAAAAAAACTCCAGAGTACTTACTCTAGGAGGCGGTGGTTGTCCATCGGCACTACTCCATTGCCCAGAAGATAATCGTTCAACGTGATCAGAATCTAAGACGCAGAGGGAAGACAATGCCAACCATAAAGTTGGGGACCGCAAACATTTCGTTGGATCTCTGTTCTTCTCGTCCATTCTAGTGAGGTTCAAGATATTTTCTGCAATAGCAGCTTTCGTGACAGAGGCCCAAGCCTCTGATAATTTACCCTACATAATTGAATCAATCTTATTACTAAATTTATGCTAATTACAATTAATTTCTAAGAAGATCATTCAAATTATTCTGTGGCTTTACTCTGAAATTATCATAAATTATATTTGGAAAATTTTTATTTATCCACCGGTTAAAAGTTAGACAATTTTCTTCAAACGATTCTTCAATACTTTGCAAACCTACAATATTTAAATCAATATTGAGTATGTCTTGTTTAAATCATTCTGCACATCAGGCAGCGAATTATAAATATCTTCATCAATATTATGCTATTTTGATGTTTTTTTTATTAGAAGGAAGTTTTTTTAATTTTTAACTATACAAAAAAAAAAACTTACCGAAGCCATGTCCTTTAAAAGTTGTATGATCTCTTCGGCCAACTTTCTCATAATACATCCTCTTAGCCACCACCGTAGCCCTACAAAGCTCTTTGGATGAATGCTCGTAGCCAAAGAAATTGACTGAAGAGCCTTGCCGTTATTTTCTTTATCTTTCACTTTCACTTGCACAGTCAAAGCTTTAGCAATACAACTAAGGAAAACGTCTAAAATACCCAAACTGTGCTCGTCAAAATCCATCGAATGAGAATATCCATTGGGTGTTACAGAGATGATACTAAAATCTGAAGGTGGCAGTTTATTTGCACCGACAACGTTAGCCAATACCTCGGGTTTAATTTCAGGTAAAATCCTACGAAGGAGCGATGTCACCTGTCTTTGTACTCTTGCTGAACCCGTATGTAACAAACTTAAGAGATCTTTAAGAAGTCCACATTGATGAGAGAGGTAGTTTCTTCCTACTGAGCTGCCACTCAAAGCCAGAACCATCGACAACATTTCAAAACAATAGGTATCTGCAGCTTTTGGTATGTCGCTATTATCACTTATTAAACTATTAACTGGTGTTGGTGAACACAAAAGATTTTCCCACTCTTCCCTGAGACGGATCGTTTCTTTCCGAATGGCCTAAAATAATCGTAAAATAAAGATCGTATGTATTAATTGCAAATGTTTTGAAATGAAATTCAGAGGAAAATTGTATACGAGATGCGTGCTTAACATATCAACTAACATTATACATTTTAATAATATAATATCGTGAGATTTACAATTCCATATATTTTATATAATAAGTATGGAATAAATAAGCGTAATTGCTAAATCTGTTAATTTACTCGGATGTAAACATTAAGCGAATTAAGTGAAATTGATTTAAGAGCAAGTACTTTTAATATTCACCTTAGTAAATGTGGAATAAAAATTGTTTAAAGATTGTTCCAATTAATTACTACAAGATTTTATTTCATATTATTTTTTTATGTATTGTGTGGCTTAAACTTTATAGATATATTAAATAACAGTATCAGCAAACCGATCGACTGTAATTATTGAGATTCACTTCATAATCTGCAACATGCATACAAAAGTATTTTTATACTCACTTGCACAATGTGTGTGCAAACTTGTTTTTGGAGATGCGTTAATTTACTCCTGCTAAATAAAATCCCCACCATATGCTCGCGAAGTTCGTTACTTTCTTCCAGTTCTTCGTTATTTGCTTCAACGACTAAAGATGAAATTATTCCTTGATTTTGCTGCTCCCCTTGTATTAATTTTCCAAAAACCTAAAATATTAATTTGTATAATATTATTACTCTATTTTTTTTTTTTTTAACAGATATATAAAATGATATTGTGTATATTTAGAAAAATTGTAGCATAAAGTTGAAATGCATGTAATTAAAAAAAAAAATTTAATATTGTTTACGATGAAAAACAATTTACCTGTGATGATATTGAACGGAAAACTTTCAAGGTTTCTGATTCGCAATTCTTTTGTTGAATGGTTAGAGCATTAAGATGCTTTCCAGTTTTAAGAGATTCTCCTTCAATTTCTCCCAACACGCGAATTTGTCTTACTCTCAATGAATTGTCTGGCCCTTTTAGTTGTAAGCCAACTACAACGTGTCTGGGATTTAAAATTGGACAATTTACCCATCCACTCGATCTACTTTCTATTTCAACGGTCTTCAATTTGATCATTTCATCAGTATCGATGCCCGATTGAAATATAACACTAGATACTTTGTGCTAAGAGAATAAGAAATAATTTTTTTAATGAATGAAGCAAATATAGCCGTAGGTAAATATTAGCATGTAAATATATGCGAAAACATTTAGAAAAAAATTGCCTATAGTCTTATAATAATTTATCCTACGTATATAAATTTAATGAATATTGTGAATGTTAGAACTGTAATTGTTTATGTTTTGAATATTAATTTATATAATTATTATAATAGCTCGTGTGAAAGATTATCCGCACTAAATCAAATAGAAGTCCTTTTTATAAGAGTTTCAAAATTCAGGCAACAATGCCACAGTTTATCTATCCTTGGATGTAACTTCATTTGCACAATTAAAAAACAATAAATTATTCTCACAGTTAAATCTCGGCAATTGTCGATGTGAAGATAAATCATCCTGGGAAACGAATGCGGCCCACAGATAATTGTAATCGCTTTTGTTTTGTTTCTATCCTCATCTCCCGATTCCCAAAAGGTTTCTGTAGTGTTATCAGTGAGGCTGCTGACCATCGCTTGTCTGCTGGATGTTTTGATTTCTATCCCCGGTGTCAAGTCCTTCAGAGTTTCAACGGAGCTCAAAGACTGACCGGAGAAATTCGATTGGTGGCTCTTGTGCATGCTTATCGTGGCATCCTCCTCTTCCTCCGAGCGTGAAAGTATTTTACTGATGTTGCTGAAGACGTGACTTCTATGTAGAAACGTATGATCAGCAGGGGTGAACTGAATGGCCCAACATCTAATGGCGGCCTGTTGTAACGGTGAACCTATAATATTACTTGTTTTATTAATACTGCTTCGTACGTAGTTTATACTTACAAATATACAAAAGTAATATTAAACCTTTAGGTCTCATCTAATGAGATATTCAAAATTAATTCTCTTACGTTTGAATTAATAATCCAATTAAATGCTAATTGATTTAAAATTATTGTACGCAAATTGATGGACATAGAAATCTGTTCGCGATTGAAGCAATTTCCAAGACCGTTGACTATCGGCATCGCTAGTCCCTCTAGCTCTCAAATTTCTGTAAACACTTGGTTACGGGAATTTTTCGTATACTTGTTATGTTTTGGTTTCAAATGTCGTATAATGTTTTATATTCGAAAGGTACACGCAACATCATACGAACTAATTCTACGTGCTCCAAGCGCACGAAGCAGTGACAGATTCACCACGTGGCATTACTCGAAGAAAGTGGTAAGATCTTTACAACCTCTCACTTCTAAGGGTAATTAACAACCAAGCGCACTACGTCACCAGTATCAGGAAACTTACAATTTCCTATCTCCGCACGATAACAATGCAGGATAACGCCAAGTGTCAACCGCGACAGAACTCCAAGAGTTCACCAATTGAATTTATCATGATAAAAATCATTCCCATATTAGGAAAATAAACAGAATAAACAGAATAAACAGCAAAAAAAAAAATAGATATGTTAAATATTGAATTAATGCGTTATCCTTTCTATTTGTCCGCACATTTCTCCCACATAACACCTCGTGGTCTTTTAGTCTTAATTCTAAACAAAATCTGTAGAGTTAGTTTTCGTATATTGAATCTTAGGGCATTGATTCTATAATTATCTTAAATTGTAAAATACTCTTGTCGTTACTTACCGGGCGGAGGTAAGCGCATTAAATCGGCAATTGTTTGCAATAAGGTGTGAAAAGCAGTAGGTAAAGGATTTGATGCCTCGCCAGCAATTATCAAATCACTTAAGGGATGCTCGCACACTCCAACCATATCCTGGATAATAAATATATCTTTATCAAATAACGTTATACAAAATTCATAATTAAAATTAAGGGTAAAAATAATTGTTAATTGCACGTTAATTCCCGTCACAATGCCAATTAAATTTATAAAAAATATTATTCAATTTTTTGTTGTTGTTTTATTATTTTTTTTTTTAATTCAAATCGCTAAAAAATATTTAACAGCATTGAGAATGTATATAATGAGACTAATAGTAATATATATATATATATATATATATATATATATATTATCTACGTAATTGCAGGAGGTAATTGAAAAAAGTCCGACGACAACTCACGTGATCCTTCCTCTTCTCTACGCATCTTTTTCGATTATCGTCTTCGTTAACATCCACGGAGTCGGATACGATGGGCGTGAGCGAGGCGACAAACCACCACAGCAAGTCGTGAAGGCAGATTGGTTGTGTGACGCTCCTCAATAGCCAATTGAGCGCCTGCATCGCGTAGACCCGACATGCAGCGCGCCTGAGTGCCTGCTTCATGGCAAACTGCAGGTGATGAAGATTGTGCTGCTGAAGGACGAAGAGCATCACAGGCCTCGTGAGCAGGTCCACGCGATCGTTATTATCGGCTACGTCCTTACTGTCGTTGGTCGAAACTATTGCCGTCTGGTCCATTGATGGGACCAGCTTTTGAAGCGCAGCCGATGGATAGCAGAGCAATGATGAGCCAGCATCTGAAGACACGGCGACCATATATAGATTTATGTTTGTGGAAGTGATTGGGAAAATTGCTTGGAATCGTCTTTGATGTATCAAGCGTTATATTTGAAAATGAAATTAATTCAATAAATAATATTAAATCCTCAAATTTTATTCCTCAAAATGCTCTATGTGAATGCGTAACCTAACAATTTATCTTGCACAATTGAGAAATGCATTTTAGGTTGCTAATAAGGGTATTTTATTAATTTTATTACCATTGGTTAATTCACTACTGCTTTTGTTCCTCTTTCTCATCATGACTATTCGACCATCGTTACTATTTTTTACCCATGGTGCTCCGGTCGACATAGAAACGGACCGATGAAACATTCCTCGATTCTTTCCACTGTCACTGTCACTGTCGCTCACTGGACACTCGGACAACGGCTAAATATTTCAAAACAAACAAAGAAATGGGCTAACTAACTAACTGATTAACAAATTGCGGTAGTTCATCGGACTTGCTTAGGACAATATATGAAACATAAGTGATTTAAAATTAAATATCATTGGCTTGTCGCTTCGATAGTCTATGGCGGCAAAGAGCGTATTAATTTCGATTGTGATAATGTTCTTCAATTTTTGCCACATCAGAGTTTCAAGTGACAGTTTCAACAATCAATCGATACATTTATTAACATTTTTAACTACTGCCCTTAGCGATAAGAACTTACTTGAAATCACTGCCAATGTGAGGCAGCACAGTGATTTTTAATCGTAATTAAAATTAAATTAAATTGTCGAGCGATTTATCTTCGATTGTCATAAGCTCAGAAAATCTCCAAAGCTAATCGACGCCTCGAAAATACCGATTGAGCGAACAGTGTGACACCGAGTCTTCTATTACTTACGGTCAATCCATTATTGCCACTGTCGTACGAGGTTTGCTGTCCCCCCTGGTGCCTCAACATCTCCTCGTAGAACCTCTCCTCGTTGCTCTGCGAGTTCTGGACACCCAAAGCGTGCAGACACTGAAATGGACCGGTCGAGGGAAAGGGCCCAGCCACTTCCGGTGGACTGTAGTTCTCCGCGACTGCACTCAGGGCTTGCGAGTGTCTGCGTTGCTGCTTTGGTATGCTTATTCCGGCTGCACTTGACAAATCCAGCAGGAACATCGCGTTGTTCTTGACTATTATATGAGTGTCGTTGCACTCTGGAGACGCGATTGGCGACATGAATCTGTTTGTGTCGCCTATGATGCGCCTGTGGCGCTTATTCTTTTTTGCCTGCGAGTCAAATAAGCAACTATTAGACTCCATTGAAACATTCATCAATAATACTGAATTACGGATAATTTATGGATTTTGTATTATTGCAAGTGCCCCGTGTCTTTAAACGTAAATTACCTATCGGATTATTTCTCATTCGATTAATAAATATCATGTATGTGTGTTTCATAGTATTCGCGTATCTTATAGTTACACATTAAATGCTCAAACATAGCTATACTTGTATAAAAAATTGCTTTATAAAATATAATAAGGATAAGTAATGACACTATTATTATTAATAACTTCATATATACTTTACTGTGTATCTACAAAAGGAATTGTAAAAATGAAATCTATAAATTATCGTTAAAAATGCGTATTTTATTGCTACGAGTAATATAATCTAAAAATAATGAGAAACTATGACTTTTTCTAATAATTTTGTTTAGTATTATTAATATAATTACCAATGCGTAGATTCTATAATTTTTAACGATACATTCAATTTGTCAGGATGCTGATGAATGTTAAATTAAAAAAAAAAAATCAACTACCCCATAGAGTCGCAATCAATGATAAAGAAATATGAAGCGGCACTTTATTGTTTAATATTTACGCAGAGCTCTAATCCGGAGAATTCATAAGTAATCATTCATAAGGAAAAATCTATGCGAAGAAAGAATAAACGTGCGTTTAATTATCTGCTATTCATATGCAAAGAAAAGTTTCTTTTTATTTTTGCAACTTTCATAAATGTGTGACATCATTGGTCTTCAACGGCGATGATCTAGATCTTAAGTAATACTAAAAGCACGTAAAATGTTTCGTATCTGCTCACTTTCAAGTACTTATCGCGACACGTATCACAAAGCAGGTACCAGGAGCTTCCCCCTCCGCCGCCATCACCGCAATTACCAGCCCATCCAACGCAATAATTGCCTCCGCTATTGTAGCCGTTACCCCCAGAATGCCATCCACATCCTGGGTGCATAAGTTTCATGTGATAGGTTACCGGATGGGGAAACATCAGCCCACAAAGTTCGCAAATCGTTTCCTTCTCAATTCCTCCCAAAGGGTCCGCCCCCGAAGTCTTTACCACGGGTTTCCATTCTTTCTTATCCCTCATATTCTTCTTCTCGCGTTTATCGCTTACGTTGTTCTCTTTCGCCGGACTAGACTCCGTAATTTTAGAGGGAATTTCATTCGCCAGGCGTTTCGGGAGCTTCAAATTTGCTGGCTGGACAATTGGACTGGGAAGTACGCTTTGCTCGTTTATAGCTTGCAAGCTGCTTACGCTGAGCTCCTCCCAGAGGAACACGAGGTTTTTCAGGGCTGGTGGTAAAACTGTAACGGTCGTGAATTCCGGCAGAGACGTTAGCTTGTTGGCTGAAAAAAAAAAGCATCCCGCCAATTACAAAATCAGTCCGGAACTGCATTTACATCGAAGGCCAAGAATGAGGAAATAGGCCATCTACCCACCTCCCATCGCGCTCTCGTCCTTAAACGCACACTCCGCTTTCTTTTTATTCCTATTGGCATTGGCATTTGCCGCTGATCTCGTAAGGCTCTCCAAAGTGCTTGGCTGTATGTACAAATAATTGCCGTCGTTCGTCACCTCGACCGAGTGCCTCTGCCTCGCACGCTCCTCCCGCGTCATCTTCGACCTCTGCTGCTCGTTGCTCGACGGCGGCGTCTGCCGCGTCACTACGAGAGCGCCCTGCTTCGGCAAACTCGGATGAAACTTTAGGAAGCTGGCACAGGCCATGGCGTCGTGCACGACACCCTCGTGCCAGAGAAATGCCGCGAAAACGGCGCGAAGGCACTCGGCCACCGAGGGACTTATTGCTTCCTTTACCTGCGGGAACAAAGCCAATCAATGTATCGTCTGTGGATACTTGTTTTAAGATCTTTCGTGATCTTTCGAAACAACAGCCGTGAGAATGTTTACGACTATAATACTGCTTATGGTGATTATACGAAATGAGGATAAAAAAGAAAAACAACGATCATTAGGATCAAGGTTTATTATGCAAAGACGTTTTGTTTCCTTCTTATCTTTTTGTAAATACGAAAAAGTCTTATTACTTATTATTGAGTATATTGTGTTAAGTCTGTCAATTATATCAATTTCTAATTTAATTAGTTTATTGCCGTTGTAATGTCAACAGCATGCAATATAATTGATTGACTTTCTATATAATCACCTATTATGAACAATGAAATAGCGTAAACATTAATTAGCCCAATAATATTGCTTACCTTTTCTTTGTTGAGATTTAGAGTGCGATTTGGACTAGAGCTTTGCTGATTACTCGCCGGAGATATTGTACGCTTTGCCTTTGATTTTGCTACTTTTGTATGATCACGGCGGTAGATCTTCGTTAGGTTTCGATCTTCTTTGTGATTTGTCGAATTATTGGTAAAATGACCTTTCTTTGTAGCTGTACTTCCGGGACTCGTTTGCGTTTGTGCCTCGGAAACTTTTTTGAAAGCGTCTTGGGAGTCCTACAAGCGACACAATACGAAATAAGATCATATTAATCAGACATATAACTAATAATTGAAAAAAGTGCTTATATCATTGATTTTACTTAACAGGTTCTTTAGAAAATACCATCTACATAGAAATAGTATTTTGCACCGTTTAACTTAACAAGCCGCAAAACGCAAAATTTTCAATTTAAAACTAAATCATCACTATTTTATTTACATTTAATAATGTTATAACTACTGGTCCTTCTAAAATAAGCACTAACTTGTAACCAAATGCAACATTTAACTAGAGCCAATAATTAACAAAACAGTCGTCATTAAATTGACAAAAATAAAAATTTCAACAAAAATCAAATTATCGTATTCGTAATTGTTACATTGTAGTATTAAAAAAAAAAAAAGGTTCCGTAGCCTCTTTACATATTAAGTGATATTCCATTTTCCATAATTGAGTAATGAATGTTACATTGACTGTCGCCAGGGTCGAAATTCACACTTACTCTCTGCTCTTTCTTCGAATTGTCCGAAGGACTGGACGTGCTTTCCTCGGACCTCATGTGCAAGGAGCTGCAACTCGGACTGGGTGAAATGTCCCTCGTGGTATTAGCCATGGAACTGACGCCATTAGGTGACTGCGAAGGATCCCGAGTGAGGCTGCTGACCAATGCGCTCGTGTCACTCTGCGTCGAGCCGCAGCGATTCGAAGTCCCACTGTCCGCCATACCACCTGACACTACGAATGCAATTTCATTTATAAATTAAATGCTTTACTGCCAGTTATTCGAAGACGGGTTTCCAACGATTTAGAACGTATGCACCAATTTCTTCGTGACGTATGACATTTGTATGAAATTTATATTTGTTTCTTGGCAAAGTCTTTAAAAAAATACTTCTCAGATAAATTGTTGTGCATATGTATAATAAATAACATTGATTGAACGAAATTTACATCGATAATTTTAAATATAATTCATGTTGTTTTAAGTTAATGATAATTAAGTTAAGTAACAATTCATTTTAAGGGTTATTTAATATACCAAACATGTCATAATTTAGTTAGTGAAAATCTGAATAAAAGATCGACTGTCCGTATATTACAATCGACTTTATTAGATATTATAAAATAACATAGTATATTGGTATGTCCATTTATGCAGACACTACGAGGTCGGGAAAGAATGAAACATTCTACTTGCTAAGATAATTTATTATATGAAAATCACCATTTTGAATATAAAGACGATATTGATTAAAAAATTAATGCAAACCGATTAACAAATATATCAGTATATAAATGGATTTACGTATTTAATGAATTTCTACTTATGTATACTAAATATTAAAGAATTATATTATATTATATAATTGCATAACAGAAAATGAAGAAAACAATTTGATTGCTTAATATTTTAACATTAAAATTAGTATACATAAATATTAAGTAATTACTTTATACATATTACAGAAGACACGATATTCACTTGTTCTAAAGTAAAATATATTATATTAAATGTACATTCATAATTTGCAGTTAAATCTTATAGGTAAACATTTTTAAATAAAATAACTTTATAAATTATTCATCATAAATTTTCATCAAGAATCATAAATTATCTGTTGCTCTATTTAAATTTGTCATTACCAGCTAGATATTATAATTTATATTAAATATAAAGAATATTAATTCTAAATTTCGCGTATATTATAAATCCATATTTATCATTCTAAAAGATACTTGAAATTGATAAATAAAAAATTTAACATGCACATTAGATTTATAAAATATTGCAACTAAATATTTACATTTTCGATAAATTACGTAATTACAATGGGGAAGAAAAAAAATATTAAATTATTTAGATATACTTTGTGAGATATTTTATTGTGCAAAGATTATATTGTACAATTCTTCAAAATATAAACAATTGCAGATACGCAATGAGATAACTATTTATATCTCTTGAGGCACTACCGTTAATTAATAATTGTAATAATGTACAAAAAATTATTCAAGTTTTTTATAGTTTTAGTAAAAACGCGATAACATGGAACAGTAAATAATAAATTATCGTTGATTTTGCTTCCTTTTGTTTTTCACTTCAATGTTTCTTATTTAATTGGATTTCGTTATTGATATACATGCAACAGTGTAAAATACGTATAATAATATATATAATAAATGTATACAAAGCCTACATCAAACAAAGATTGATATCTCTAATTTGTAGGTAATATAAATGAATTGCAAATGTAATTAAGAGAATTAATTTATAGTTTCCAACTGTCATGCAAAATAAATGTTTGTATTGTAAATATAAAAGAGACGCTTTAGTAATTTATCCTTTAAATAATTATCTATTAAATACGCTTGATCTCGTTTATAACATTTGATAAATATTTAACGTATACAACTATGAACCTATTCTAATAGATTTTACCAAATAATATATACACTAAAGATGAGCTAAAATTATTATTACTCGTACTTATTCCTTGCAATGATATTTTACATAATAAATATAAAAATATAAGACTATTTATATAATTGATTGTCAATACTTAAGATTAAAGAGATTATAATCTATAAACAATTGTGATAATAATAATTACTTTTATAATGAATGGTAGGTGGTGTGTAAGTGATGCAAAATTTATTACAATAAGTGATACGACAACGTGCCATTATTAAACAATAAAAAAGCTATGAGAGTACCTTGAGTATTAACAGCGGATGGAAAAAGACCAAAACCGAACGGCAGACGACTGGACCCTGCTATGATTAATAGCACGATTTTGTTATAACTGATTGGGTAACATTTATTTTGAAAAAATCTCCAAAACAAAAAGATTTCACAACTTTTATTTCAACGTACTATTTGTAATACGAATATAAAGTCGTTGAAAATTTTTTTATTTCGATCCGTTTAGTTATAACTGTCGAAATATATTATTTCAATATCAATTCGAATAATAATAATTCGTTAGTATTGCATTGCTTAATAGTCTATTTATAAAATCAATTATGGGCATATAAAATTAATTTAAAAATATCATTTACTATTTATACATAATTAAATATTAAATAAATGATTAATCTTTTCTTAATACAATGGAACTATTCAATGAACGTAATCGATTTATCGTACTAATGGTATAAAGTATATTTGATTATAAAAACCATAAATAATTATCTTCATTTATGCAAATATCTAATTTATTTATTTTAAAGTCATTTCTAACTAATAGATGTTTGGTATGACAATGAATACTTCAATAAGTATTCCTCTTTTCAGATAAAATATTAAGCATTTCTATTACATAAATAAATCGCTATTGTATCGATAAAACAATATGGTCGAAAAGTTTGAGCTTGCACGTTCACTCGAGAATAAAGTTAATCATTTATAAGGACACTTGTAAGGATTTTGCTATACCATCGTAAATAAAAAAAGAAGCTAAATGTACGAAAAGAATAAATAAAATCCATATAACAATGCCCCATACAGCAATACCCGAAACGAAGAATTGTAAACATTTCGGAAACAGAGCAAACTCGAGATAAATAATAAGATATAGACAGCCAAATAATTAAGATCACTCTATAAAAGTAACAATAACAGGTTTTTGCATACCAGGTATCGCAACTGGACTGGAAGATCGACTGGTGACTCGCGGTGAACTAGTTTGAGGATTCTTCGGGGATGAGCTGCCCGACGTTCGCCGAGGCGTTTCCGGTGGCGTTGAGTTATTACCATTTGCTCGACTCTCGCCCATCGCCTTTACTAATTCTTTAACCGAGACTCCGACAAATTCCGAAAAGTCCCTGTTAATACGTCCATATAATAAACGTCCTTATAATAATCATACTGATTATAAGATATTGACATATATTATTGCTTATGGTATTTATAATATAATTCGTTATAATGGTCGATAAAGATAAAAACATCTATACCTTCCGGGTGAGATCCTTTTTTCTCCGTGCGACTTATCGTCACCCCTTAGCCACTTTTGCAAAACGCTAAATTTTCCGCCTCCTCCGATTCCACTTCCTCCACTTTCGCGCTCCTTTACTGTTCTCTCTTTCAAATGATTTTTTGAGGATTTTGCTAAGGATTCGATAGATTTGTCCAACATGCTCGTAGCTGTCGTTTTACTATACTTTTCACTCCCGGCCTGCGATTCATGATGACGCTGTTGTTGTTGTTGTTGCTTATGTTGCTGCTGCTGCTGCTGCTGCTTCTGTTGCTGTGCCTGCTGTTGTTGCTTTTGTTGCTGATGTTGTTGCTGTTCTTCTTCTTGTTCTTGTTGTTGTTGTTTCTGCTGATGTTCTTGTTGTTGCTTTGAATCATTAGTCAAGGTACCGATGAGAAAAGAATTATTGATGCCATCAACGGTGCCGCTACCATTGGGAGCTGACAATGCAGAGTTTTGAAAGGAATTGACTTGATATTGATCGGCGGACAGATCATTAGTTTGACTGGTCGAGGGAGCTGAAGTCAAATGTTTCGAGGCTTGATTCTGTAATGTTTATATTTTTGATCGATTAGTTGTATTTTTTTAAATAATTGGCTTTTTTTATTGTCGCTGAACAGACACTTATATATATATATATATATATCATATTAATAATGTTCATTTAGTTATATCTTTTTTATGAACCAATTCTGACATTTTAATTAAAAAAAGATGTTGAAGGTGTGTATTATAAAATCATACTAATACTTTTCAACGTTACAAAGTTGAAATTGTACCAAATATATATATATATATATATATAATGTTAAAAAAATATTTGAAATTATTGTGTAGGTAATGTGCATTATAAAATTATTTAAAAAGTGTGTCCCCTTGAAAAAAATTGCTTTACTTTATGAAAATTACAAGCATCAAGTGAATACTATAATACAACCTTATACACAGAAACATCATTAATTTACCTTAAATGAAATATTAAGTGAAACATGAATTATATTACATTTATGTATAAATAACTATTAAACCTGATTGAAAGAAGTTTGCTCGGATAATACTGATTTCTTTTCCAGATCATCATCAGCGGCTTGCGTGATTTTCATATAAGCTACTTCAAGTTTATTGATGGCCAATGACCAAGCCTCACCTTCGGTTTCGAAGCAATACTTATTGGCCGACTCGGTATCGATTCGCACCCAAGTACCATATTTATTAACAAACTATAAAGGAGATAAAACAGTTTAATTTGTTTGATAATGATTAATAAGCTTAAACGACTGAATAACGTTATAAATAACGTTAATAAAAAAAAAAACGTCCTGCACATTTAAGAATTACTTTTCCTTGAATAATGTAATGTAATGTAAAACGTCAGTTTCACACATTTTTTTATTTATTATACATAATGTTATTATTTTGTATGAATTTAGTAGCATTTAAATATCGATATGGAATTAAATTTTAATAAATGACAATTATTAACCGGAAAATATAAACGCTAAAATAATTGTCCTATAATATAATTGAATAATACGATCTTACATATTCTTGAATGGTAACTGTATTGCCTAAAGCCAACATCCCAACGACCGCAGCTTTCAAACTTGGTTTGCTTCGTATATTATGACCAGAGGCACCGCAGGTTATAACTGCCATCGTTTTCCCATTATCAAACGCTATTAGTTTTCGTTTACTTCTGCAAACGAAATAACTTCATAAAATTAAAATACATTTTATGCATAATATAAATACCACATTATAATAAATTTGTTATCGACAAATAGTCGAATAATACACACACACACACACACATATATATATATATATATATATATATATATATATATATATATATATTTATATTATTCAAATAAAGTGATGGATATGAAAAAACTTTTAACGGTACTAACTCTTCGCTTAAATCCGATTTTTTCGGTAATATTGCTGGTTTTGTGATTTGCTGCAATGAAGTTTTCGGTTCGTCCACCGCTAATAATAAAGTTTTTCCTAAATGTTGATTGTACTGTAAACACCAAGCTTCCAAATGTCCGCTCGTACAGAATTTTGTTATCGTTTCAGCATTCAGCCGAAGCCACACACCATCGTCATTATGAATCTTTTCATAAAAAATATATTATATTAATACTGTTTATTTTTTAATGATGATATGACACGTACAAATGGCTTTACCTATAAGATTACTAGAATTAGCGGTATGCTTATATATTTCAATACCAATTGTTTATTCGAATGTAATTATAATTGAAATTAAAATGAAATAGATTGATTTCTGCTTGAAACAATGGATTGCTTTATCATTTTGACTTTCAATTTATTTAATAATCGAGCATTTCTAACATTTACCTCGAATGATCCAACAAACAAACTGACATAATTACAGTTTTTAACGTATGAATTATTTACATAACTAATAATGATTGACTAATAATTGAGTCTTAGCAAAGTATCTCATAAATATGTGCAATTGATTGTTAAAGTAAGGGTAAATATCGAAGTAACAGATAAATATCTTAGCGTTAATTTACAACGCCTCAACGGGTTAAAGAATGAGCTAAGCCTTGGAATAGACTCGTAAAAAACACTATTTACCTCATCGCAATAAACTACCGTGCCATTAAGCGGTATTATGCCGATCTGCTTGCTCTGGAGGGACGGATGGGCCCTAATTCTAAGACCAGCGGTATTCTTTGCCATGAATCTTCGAACTCTGCTTGGCAGATGCTGAGGTTTCTTAGCGATATTCAACGCTGGTAGCTCCATGCCCTGTGGCGGCCTTTTCACTTCCACTTTATAGTTCTACATGCATCAACAAGCACACAAGCCCATTTACTGTCAAAATTACTAGTAAATATCATTGAGGAGGACGATGGGAGGACGATATAGTCGCGAAATATTGTATGTACATGAAAATCAGCCGGCAATATAAAAAGAAATTTTTGCTTTTCTTTAATAGCTAAATATAATCATCGTTAATTTGATTCGTTTGATTTTAATGAATAATTGTGGAAACTTAGAATATTTGCTTTCGCGGATTACCACGCCTCGAAATACTCGCACAGGCTCAGAATTTCAGTGTAGAAAAAAAAAGAAAAGAAAGAAGAAAGAAGAAGAAGAAGAAGATGAAGAAGAAGCGGACCTTACTTTTACCAACCGTTAATTTTATAGATAATAAATTGAAAGGACACTTACGTCCTCCATATCATATCCATCGATGCTTATTTGAATGGAGTACCAGCCGACGGAGAAGGGGGTCCAATTCGCCTGGAAGGTCCCGTCACCGTTCGCAGTCACCGTCATTGTCTCGCTCGATCGCTTGAAGGCTGAGGACGTGAAGCGCAGCTCTTCGAACGAATAATTCCGATAGGCCTTCATTATGGTAATGGCGTGGAAGCTGACCTTGTAAGGATCGTCGAGGACCGTCACCTCGTAGGGCACCTCGAGCGACGGCTGGGGATGGCCGCCGAATGTCATGGGATCCGGTTGCGATACACGACGGATCTTTTTGCCATGATCGGGCTCCGTGAGGTCGCGCTTGTCGATCGGTACAGCCTTCGCTTCGATCTGATTGGGATTTCGCGTGTCGCAAATTAGAAGCGAAACAAAAAAGACATTATAATTTTTTCGATATTGGTGTTGGAGATAGATTCTCGGTTAATATTAAAAAAAAAAAAAAAAAAAAAAAAAAGCCTCTCGAGTTAAAAATAATTTCCTTCCAATTTGCAATTTCAATTAAATTAAGAACAAAATGCATAAATGTAAAATAAACTTGCCGCCCGTGCTTATTACCGCTACTGTTATTTAGTAATAATAGTGTAATTTAATGTATTAAGAACAAGCTATAATGTGTGATAAATTCACGAATTACTTGTACAATATATATTCATAAATATGTGAATTCATAATATAGAAACAAAAAAAAAAAAAAAAAAATCGGAGAGTAATTGGCGCGGAAATATGAATTACAAATGATTTATCTTTCGAAATAGAAAGTACGTTACGATTAATTGTTTTAATGCGCGTTAGGTCTTTGTCACGCCAATTTTATAAAAGAAATTACGACTTATTAATACGAAAGATCGAAATAAATTATCCTTAAAATTATAGCCATTACATTAGTGTGGATAATTAAGATTTATGTATACATAGATTTATATTAGATTAAATGAGCCAAAAAATTCAAGTGAATTTATCACGTCGATTGTACATAATATTTTATCGGTCTCGTTTACAAAATTTAACTGTCCCTTCAGTCTCTTCAGGAAATAAATTCATAATTAATCCGTTGTAATTTTAATATATACAATTAATAGGATGAAAACGGCTTTTATTATTCTAAATTGTATGTATTAAGAAATGTTGACTGATATGATGTATTACTTGCTCCAAAGTAAATAGTAACGTGCACATTATAAGCAATTAGTACGTGCAACAGATTTTTCAATGCTTAGCAGTACTATCGTATTTTCGATTGATTTGATGAATAAATATTAATCAATGGCAGTTAATAAATTCTTCGATTAAGCATGAATGTCGAGAAAAGAGACGATATTCCGAAGAAAGAAAAAAAAGTCAAATACCGTTATAATTAGCAAGGATTTTATGACGCATTGTTACACGCGGCATTTTTCATAAAATACGAAAAGTTATTTTAAAGTCAATTAGAAAGCATCGGCTCCATTTTGTTCCCGACGGCATACAAAGAAGTTATAAATTGCGCCAACTCGAAACACTTAAGGATAATGTAAGCATTTACTCAATGCACGATGAGAGCTTAACACGAAAATACCACAAGTGGAATTCAGCTGGAGCTTGCGCTCGGCAATATGTTGTTCCGCTGTGAATCAGCGACTCCTCCTCAAGAACAACGACTCGTTATTAATCCACGTGGATCGAGCGTGAGGGAGAGAAAAGTCCCCATTATGTTTAACCTTTTTGTCTTAACTGTCCTCGCCTAGACGTCCGTCGCCGACATTAAAGACGGCCTTGGAGGCGCGCGCGCGACTAATGCAACGACGGACTCACAATCAACTCACCCTCAAACCCCGCACGTGGACGACTTCCCCGTACTGGTCCCTGGTGACGACGGTCACGATCGCCGGCCACCCGTAGCGCATCTCCTCGCGGGCGTAGAGGACCTCGCACTTGGCGGGGTCGACGTAGCTGTCCGGTTGGAGCCATCGGGCGAGTCTGCCACCGCTCGTGCCCGACGTGCACGACACAAAGTCCCGCAGGAAGAGACGCTCGTTCGAGTGGCAGCTGGAAGCAGACGGGGACAGGTGCGATTAGTGGCTCGGGTGAAAGAGGTCTGGTGGCTAATTGGCCGATATTAGCGGCGATCGTCGACTCGAGCATTGCGACCGCAGGCAAAGGCTCTTGTCAAGTGTTCCGTGTTACTTTGCGTGACACGCCGAGCAAACATGTCGTGGTCATTATTTACTTCTTGTCAAAATAGATTATGGATTATTCTTAGGGATTATTACTCTTTTATTTTTAAAGGCTATTGTCGCTCGCTTGCTCAAGGCGCGCTCTTTTACCCTTCCAGCATACAACATATCGTTCTTTTGTTTATGTTTTGTTTTTCTTTTCTTTTTAATTTCGTATGTTGAAGGTCTTGATTTGAAAGTTCTCAGAACGGTTCTACGATATATAATTTTATCGTACATATTATTTTTCCTTGTCCCTATTATGACTGAACTAGAAATGAAGAATAGAAGAAAAAAAAAATCATTGGGCTTTGAATGCATCAACCCGTTTATATCTCGTGCATAACAATAATCAAATACATTAACAATTATCTCTAACGCTTTAATGAATGAGATATTTATTAGTAATTCGCAATTGCTTGTAGTTAAAAGTAATAATTATCGTAATCAATTGTAATGATCATGGGCAATTGTAATTCTAAAATACAGAGGGATGATGTGGTGAGCGATAAAATTTCAAAATCATATGGAAAATATATTGTGCGCTGTAAAAATTTAATTATTAAATAAATTTCTACTCCACATATTCTGGTTTACAAAACATTTCACGATGCGAGTAAATACGAAAACTCGAGTCCCAGTATTAATGATTAAAAAAATCTACTTGTTATGCCAAATGAAATATAAAAGTAACGGAACCCGTCGTATACACATATATGGCTGTGCCGCACATAATGACGATGAAAGTAGGAGGTCGCGCCGTACGATGAAACGAGTTGGCAAAAAACGAGTGGCCCTAATTGATCATGAAATCATGAAACTATCATCGTCGGGTGAAATTTATCGAGTGCAGTTTGTTTTTTGTTTTATTGCTCTGCCTCGTCGGTTAAAATCAAGGACCTAATAAGGCAGTGTGGTAACATTGTGCCAAATCACTCGAAACTTTCGACATGCTGCAATATCGGCTTAATTCCGCATTTCTCAGTATAGAACCGCAAATCGTTCTTCATGGACTCGATACTTCAATTTCGTTTGCCTTTATTTTCTTTCTCTTAGTATTTAACTCGACATAAATTATGGGTAAGCACAAATTAGCTTCTTTAATTATTATTGATAAGTGCTGTGGGAACCGGCCTCTACAATATCAAATTCCAATAAATACATAATGATAAAACTAACGACAAATTAATGAACATTAATTCCACTTTTCTATGAAATTTCGATTAAATATAACTATTATAATATAAATATAATTATTATGTTCACATTAATATCCAACAACGTAGTAACAAATTCAATGCTTATTGACGCCCAACAGATACCATTATTTTACAATAGAGTACTCTCGACCAACCACGCATTGTGCATCGAAGTGTCGCTAACAAGTAAAAGGAAACCTACCAAGAAATTGAATTCTCCAAATTCTCAAAAAAATCAATATAATATCCTCCATCGCTTCCTCCATCGTTCACTGGTATCCTGGTCCACATCGAGGAACGTCACATAACGCTTCCTCTACGGCTCATTATCGCTCGTATCCTCTAATTTATCGGAACGTTGGCGCGTAACACGAGAGAACAAATGTAAACTTCGATGTCACATGGCGAGCACGTGGCCAAGTGGGTGTGCACGCTTTCGCAGGTATAGGCTTTTTTCTTGTGTCGTTAGATACGCACAAACGCACACATATATATTCAGGATCACGGACGACCTTAGGAGTCGTCTTCAGTGAACGGAATCCCAGAAAAAAAACTCTCGTGCCTTGCTCGCACGTGTCTTGCAGACGCTCAGTTCGTGAGCTTAGCGCGATTTCTCATGGGAAATTCAAGGAGAGAAGCAGAGCTATATGATATCTAGTTTTCTAGGAGTGCATTAAAGGTGTGCCGAGGGTGAAAAGAGAGATGAGAGAATGTTGCACTTCCGTTTCCGACCGGCAAATCTATACTGTGGGAGTGTACGGGCGTAGAACGAGGCGTTTAACAATAGATTGCCCCAAAAAAACGGCGGACCCTGTTCTTTCTTTACAGTTTTTGAAGGGTTGAGCTGTTTTATGTCGGATCTATTAAAGTAAAATCATAAATAAAATTCCGGATTTAATACCGATTTAGTCTTCAATCGAATAAAGAGGATTACTGGTAAGACTGGTAAGACTTATGGTCCGTTAACGTTAGTCTGACAATCGTAAATTTAACTTTTCGACAAATTATATACAATTAGCTTTGACCTATAGTTACTCTAGCGAACATTAATTCTTCATTCATGATTTTTTTTTTATAATAAAAATTACGAATCTTTAAGCAGATGCTTTTATTGGTAATAATAATATTTTACTATCAAAAACTTTTTAAACCTGAATAAAAATGTTTCGTACGTACTATAATCATACACACACACACACACACATAAATATACATATACATATATATATTTGTATAAAATAATATTAATATATCGGTAAAAAAATTTAATCGGATAAGTATTAATAACAGCTATTGAAATAATGTTGAATATTAAAATTAACGTTTTCCGTGTTATCTGTAAAATTTCTGAAATTAATGAATTGAATGAAATGAAGAATTAATATATGTTATGATGATTAAAATATATGAAAAAGATTTATCTTAACCAAATTGGATGTTATCATAGTTATAAAAATCCTGCGCTTCTCATTTCTTGTTCAAGTCGATTACATATATTTTAATCATTGCTTTCAACCGTTATTCATTTTTATTTTTATCCATTGAAAATAATTATTGAAAATAAGAAAAACGCTACATTTGTGCTAAGCTTAATCAATGTATTTATAACTAATAGGGTATATTATTAATTGCGTACACAAAATACATATGCATGTAAGCGATTTCTATACTCATATAAAATCGAATACCATTGTCTTTTTATTTAACATTTAATAAACATCAGATTAATAGTTTTAATAATTATTCAAATAAACAAGAATGAATAACTTCAAATAACTATATTTATATTACATTGCGTATGTTGGTCATAGATAGTTCCCGGTAATATATTTTATATCTAATCAAACTATTTGTAGATCTAATACTCAATTATACACTCAAGTTCAAGATTAAATTTTTTTTTATTCAAATTTATAAATAATCTTTGTCATTCATAAGTTGAAAAAATTAGGTAAACGTTTCTAGTTATATAATTTCACAACTTTAACATAATTTCACTTATAAATTAGATTTATATTAGACTCATTATTGAATCTTAATCATAATTGAATAAAAAAAAGTCATTAAATAAGAAAATAAACATTTTTTAAAAACTTTGAATCAGTCAAGTTTGTAATAATAATTCTCTTGTGTCAAATTATAGTTTTTTTACGCCAGCTCAGACATAAATTCTGTATTTCCCTTGATTCTTCATTTATTTTAAGGCCTTGAAAATGTTAGTGTAATGTGACTCGCTGACTGGAATGCTTAAGTGGCCAAATGTTTTTATTTTATTTATGTGCATAAAAATTAATAATGTAATGTGTGCCGCATTACTTGTCTCCTTATAAGCTATGCACAAACATTGTTGTACAGTAAAGTAAATTAAACAAAGATATTATAAATGCGTAGATAATAATTATAGCTTACTACAATTTTACAAAAATAATATTTTAACAGATTTTCTTTTACAAAAGAGCAGTTTTACATTTTAAAGATTATTATTGTCAGGATAATGTTTGAGTTTAAATTTTCCTCACTAGCCAATTCGCTAACCTAATGAATTTTCTTAATTGCGCGTACTTTTATTAAAATATTATGAATTAAAATAAAAAATTTTCTATTATTTACTTTCAACGCGGTTTAATATTCCATATAAAATATTCAATTCATATCAAAGATGATTGAAACTAATGCCAAAAAACTAGCATAAATATCTTCGCGTAAATTAAATGGATTAATAATAATACAATATTCTTATGTACTTTCATTATTTTACTTTAATCAAATTTTATTTACGAATATATTATTTTAATAAATAAACAAACGATTTCAGAATGTACTTTTAAACTGTATGTATGTAAAGCATACCTGCATTTATTAATTTTTATTATTTTTTTTTTCAATTGAAACGATATACATACATATATGATGAATGAATATCGTTTCTTAGTAAATAATGACTCGTATATCGAATGTTTTAAAAATATTATTACACTTTTTTGAAATACTATTGTAATAATTGTTAACACGTAAAATAAAATATTCAAATTAAATATACGAGATATTATTTCATTAAATACGAGTGAACTGAAGAATTTCTCTCCTTTTTTTGCAAAATTTTTTATAATTTTTTATTCTGTTTGAATAATTAAATGAAGAACGAATGAAAATAATGGATACCTGTATTAACGCGTTATTTTAATGATACAATTCTACTTTTTGCTTCATTTCTATTAAAAGAGTAATTTTTATTTTAACGGGTAAATTATCGATTTTTTTTTAGCAAACTATTACAGGCTAAATTGAAATCTAATATTTTCTTTGCAATTGGAAGAAAAATAAATTTTAATCTGAACTCACTTTTTTTTTTTTTAAACATGTTAGTCAAGATCAAACAGTCCACCGAGAAAACGACTTTATAATTTACTTTAATATGGAATTACGTTTACCAGTAGTTTATAAATAATAAATTAAATATTAAATAAAGATTTTAGCTACATATAATTTCTATTAATTTTATTATTATTTATAAAAAATGTAAAATGGTCATTTCATTAACTTCATTTTTTAAGGCCACAAAATTGAATTGTTAAAAGAGCAGAAGCGAAAGCAAAGAGGAGAAATCATGACGATTACATTTGCAGCTTTTATT